CTGTTTCCTGGACCAGTCTGACCACAACGGAGCTTCCTTCTGTACAATGCTGTGCAAACCTCACCTGTATGAACTGACCCTCCTGATGATGCTGCTGAATTTTTTTAAATCATAGACATTACTACTACATTACTACTGATGTCACAAAAATGCGTGGACTGGGCTGTGAAGATTATGTATTAAAACTAAAATAATGCTGAACATACTTTATCAAACGCTTTTATTTCAAGAGGTGAGGATTTTTTTTCCCTTGATACAGGCTATATAAACCTGCCTATAGTCTACTAGCCTATTCAGTTCTTTAATGTAAGGGCAAGATTTGGATGTAACAGAACACAAGTATTTGGAGAACATTTTACATATTAAGAATACAGAAATTAAGTATCTTGATTCAGTCCAAGTTACACTGTAAAAGCAGTTTTCAGAATACAGTTACCTTTAATATTTTTTGGAACATAATTTTACAATACTTACCGGCTAAATTAAAAATATATATACCATCTTTAAAAGAAATACCATCGATGCTTGTTTATTAACTATTTTAAAATATGTACATGGTGTGTGAACACGTACTCTAAAGAAGAACTCAAATAATAGCTTCTTTACAAACACTGAAGTTCTTGCTAAAGACTGAGTAGACTGATAAATCAATGTGATGAGTCATTAATTAATCTTAGTGTTACTGAGCTCTGCTAAAGCCTGAATAGACTTACAAGTCAATGTGACGAGTCAGTTATTAATCTTAGTGTTACTGAGCTCTGCTAAAGCCTGAGTAGACTTACAAATCAATGTGACGAGTCAGTTATTAATCTCAGTGTTACTGAGCTCTGCTAAAGCCTGAGTAGACTGATAAATCAATGTGACGAGTCAGTTATTAATCTCAGTGTTACTGAGCTCTGCTAAAGCCTGAGTAGACTGATAAATCAATGTGACGAGTCAGTTATTAATCTCAGTGTTACTGAGCTCTGCTAAAGCCTGAGTAGACTGATAAATCAATTTGATAAATCAGTTATTAATCTCAGTATTACTGAGCTCTGCTAAAGCCTGAGTAGACTGATAAATCAATTTGATGAATCAGTTATTAATCTCAGTATTACTGAACTCTGTTAAAGCCTGAGTAGACTGATAAATCAATGTGATGAATCAGTTATTAATCTTAGTGTTACTGAGCTCTGCTAAAGCCTGAGTAGACTGATAAGTCAATGTGATGAATCAGTTATTAATCTCAGTGTTACTGAGCTCTGTCAAAGCCTGAGTAGACTGATAAATCAATGTGATGAGTCATTAATTAATCTCAGTACTGGGTTTTCCGTCCACCAATTTTTTGCAAATTTTAAAAATACACAAAAAAAGAAAAAGGCTGAAATTTGAAAAAATGAGTTTTAAAGAGTTTTACATTAGAACGAGGTGGAAATATTAGAATATTGCTAAAGCTGAAAAGTGAAAAAGTGATGGAAAATGTTTTTTTGAATAAATTATGTCGTATTAAGCTGTAAGTTACATGATACTTTGATTCCTACAGACGGTCTGATCAGGGTGCTTGGTTTTTCAGAGGTTGCTTTCAACATTCTGAAATGCCTAATCTAAAGTGAAAAGTGGCTCTGTACAATGCAACGCAATTGCGTTCTCAGATGCAAGGTGGACGTTGTCGGGGTGGTACAGAGATTTCAGCCCTCATTAGGTGGGCTGTTGCCCATCCTGTCCGGTGTCTCAAAGCTGCAGATAACATGGCCACAAAAAGATGGCAAATGGTTGTAAAGATAATTCTATTTATATTAATATAATTATATTCTGCCCTGCGATGGACTGGCGACCTGTCCAGGATGTATCCTGCCTTCCGCCCAATGACAGCTGGGACAGATGGGTCTGTGCTGGGCCTGTGTTTTCCCAGCACCCCCAGCGATCCAGAGGGATAAGCGGTTTATAAGATGCATGTGTAACTATATTCTATAATTACATTTAAAGTAAAAAGTGAATCTTTCCATCTTGCTCTTTTCGATGCAGCCCCTAATCATGGTAGCCTACATTATCAAAAGTTTCTTTTTTTTTCTGCCAAAATTTTGTAAATGCACATAACATTTGCAGAATGTTTGAATGGAAACCAGATCTGGGTTACTGAGCTCTTTTAAGGAATTATGAAACTGAACAGTCTCCTCAGTAGTGGACATGTTCATGAGCAATAAACTTACAGTAAGTGTTGCACTCCACTCATGCAGGTGTTTTGTATACATACACGTCATTAACTGAAAATCACATAGCTACTCACTTTATAATCAAATTTGCAAGATTTTGTTACTGGGGTATGGAAAATTGTTTGCTTTGTTCCTGAGATGGCTGTGGGATTATGGGAGCAGCAGTGCACTGAAGCAGGCAAGGACAGCCAAAATAATGTTAAGAATTTTATAACTTCATTTAAGCAACTAAAAACAGTGTGAATTAAAATAAAATTACAACAGCAGAGGCACAATGCACCTTATTAATATCTTACCTTATTAATACCTTCTGCCCAACTGTATAAGAGGTGATTGTGGACACAGGTGAAAACGCTACAACTAGCCTACAGACTACTTAAACGACTCAGCAGTAATTAGAGATGTAAAACTTTTAACTGCCACGCTCTTATAAGAGTGATATAGTCTATATTGTCTCATGATTGGCTAATGCACTAGTTACACACTCCAGGCTGAAATGCTATTCCCCTTAGCTCAGTGGCTCATTGTAATTTCCACCACACTCTTCTTAAAACTGTTGCGAAGCATAGCGGCCAACGTTGAAGTAACACCTACAGTGTTGAATTAACACCTACCGTGTTCATTTAAGCCCAGCAGGACACCAATGAACACTGTTAGTGCAGTCAGCACTGGTGGGGGGGTTTAGCTGTCTGCTTCACGTCCGCCACTCTGTGAAACTGCAGGCGTCAGAACCAGCATCACGTTTCAATGGACAATTGAATTCAGTGAGTAGAGAAGTGCAGAGGCCCGCTCTAGGTGTCCTCTCCAGGAGTCTGGTATATCGATCGGCTTGGATAAATAAAAGACAGGTGGCGTGCACGGTATCCGGACTGCACAATCTTCCATGAAATAAAAGCTCTTTTCCCTACACATGTTAATTTTATACACATGTGAAATGATTTCATTGGGGTTTCATCACCCAGAATATGCTGATTATGATTTGAAGAGTTTCATTCTACAATGATGCATCTCCTTTTAGAACACAGTTTTTGGAAGGAATGTATAACAAAAAAACATTTTTATTTCACCAGTCAGTATTAATCATAATGCATGTGTAAAGCCCACTTCCAAGATCATATATTATGAAAAAAGAAAAGAAAATACTTGAAAATAGTCTATAATACATTTTTGAACAAACCCTTCAGTTACATATTTCAGTGTTCTTTAAAACCCTTTTTCTATTACAGTTTTTCTCGATTGCTTACACATGGTTATTGCACGCTGGTACAGTTCAGAATATCTAAAGCTCAAGTGTTAACATCAAGGTAGCAAGGCTCTGGACACATTTCCCTCCATTTCTTTCTCATAAGACCCTGCCTACATACTTTTTTTGCAGAACACTAAATAGAGTCCTCCATCTCTAATCCTGAAATTCATGATGATCTCTGATGAAATATTTTTAAAGATAAAGGCAGATAGTCAGAGACATTTATCATAAATCAAAATATAAAAGAAATATAGTGCAAATACAAATAAATAATGTATTATGCATGTCTTACTTTCTGCAGTGAAGCCACACAGTAATGTTTTGTATGAACTGGCTATACCTGCCAGCATTCAGCCAACGAGCCCCAGCAGCAGACACACAAATAAAAAACAGCAATGCTGCCTGCTGTACGATCAAGCAAGCTGAAAGAAGAAGAGAGGAAGAGGAGGAGTGTGTAGAGACAGAGAAGGAGAGAAACAGTAAGATGTCGGTGGTCTGTGCTGAGCCTGTGTTGTTCTGCTGAAGTCATTCTAGAAACAACTAAGGCTCTGATTTACACCTCCCACCATACTCACCAATTCTAAATCCAAATAAAGAAGCTTTTCGCTTTTGCTTTTCTCTATTTAAAGTTATGGAGAATGCATGTAGCATCAACAGAGTCAGGAACTGAAGACTGTAGATTTTTAAAACACTGGCTGATGTAGATCACTTATGGAGATGAGAGACAGGATCCAGCATCTACTTATTATCATTATTATTCTTTATTTACCTACTTATTCATCTATTCTTAGAAACACACTGTAAACGTTTCCAATAAACCTTGTTTTGTGCTCTGAGTTTATTTTTATGCTCTTGAAAGTGTGATGAATATTTTATTTTTATTTCCAATGGCCCACATTTATCAAGCATCCCTGAGTAAGAGCACTGATGTAAGATGAGGTCTCATCAGGTCATGGAATTTTATTCAGTATTAATTAAAAAGCATAATCTGATCCTAGATCAGTATCATTACTCTAAGAAGTTTGAGAAATGTGGGCCATTGTCTCTGTATGTCTGCAGTTTCTTCAGCTCAAAGACAGCAGCAAACCCAGAAAACTACCTTCTCAGTTTCTTTTGTGTGAAAAACCTGATTTGCTGTAGAAATATATATGATTGATGTGACTGGTATTTTGATGTGATTACTATGAATACTGATGGTTTTGTAGCCAGAGGCTCATATTGCTCTCAATAGGGAATCTGCTAAATGTGTGGAGAGTATTGAAAATGTGTTTGTGCATTTGAAAGCAGAGAAACTGTGTCCCAAAATGTGTTTAAGCAATCAAGAAAAACTGCAAGCTGCATGTGACAGCGGCGCATTTAAAAGTAAATTGTGGAGGCTGCTGCAACGCTATTGCCATGCATGCATGGCACGAAGAGCAGCATGTTAATAGCAAAGCTCGCCTCCAATCCGGTGACGCGGCCCTTGTCTCGAGCTCCGTCCTGACCAATGAGAGCGGCGTGTGGGCGTGGCCTGAAAGGCGAGCTGCTTTTTTGAGTTTAGTAAATGACTGCAGCAGGGAACACGGAGGGCTTTGGCAGCGATTACGCGGGGCTTCCGAGCGATGGAAGAAGCTCTACCCACCGCAGTTCGCGCCGCTCCGCATGTGTCGAGGGGATTCTAAACGGAGGAAGAGAAAATAAGATGAAACCGAAAACGAGCCGCGTCTCCTAAACTCGACCAGACAATGGAACGAGCTCCATGCAGCAGTAACGACTCACCCCTGGGAAACAACTACGTAGGAAATAAGAGCACCTGCAGAAGCACATCAGTCAGCGCCGCCGGGGTCCCTGCGACTACGTGTGGCTGGAAACACATGGTTTTACTGGAATGCACGTTACTGAAAGCGTGAAGAAAGAGTAGCAGCGGTCGCGTAGGTGCAGCCTGTAAGAGATTCTATCATTCACACAACTTCTGTGGGATTCCGCTGCTCTGAGGCGGAGGAGGAGGTCGAGAGTTTCATTTGATTCAAACCGGACAGACTTACGAACGACCACTTTGTCAGCTGCACTCGTGAAGGAGCGAGTGCGAAGCCTCTGTGTGAGAACGCCGGCTATGGATTGCCCAGAGTGAACAGCTGAAATTTCCTTTCCTCCAGTTACCTCAGTGTCTCCCCCGAAGCAGCTCTCTCTAACCGGCTGCAGTTCCGCAAGCTGCTCTGCTCTCTCTCTGTCTCTCCTTCTGTCTCTCTCTCTCCTCCTCTCTCTCTCCGCGGTATTGTAACGTGAACTCAAGCCTCGCGTTGTGCTAATCGATAGCCACTGTCTGGAAAAAATGGTCGCCTCGTCTCTATGGTCTTAAACTATTTTTTGGCTTACTTTTGGATCTGCTGTATCCCCAACGAGCCACAGAAGAATCCATCATCACCACCCCGCAAGTCTGACATCTCAGCAGGAATTGTGCTAACGGTGGCCCAAAGCTCCTGAGCCTGCCAAAATGTGCAGATTAAACGCACTCGGGATTTATCTGTGGGAAACTATAGTGTTTTTCAGGTGAGTCCCTCTGTTATTGCATTGTGAGACCATTTACTTTGCGGTGGCTATTGTTTCACATGGCTGAGGTCAGTCTCTCTCCACACTAAACCCCTTTAGCAGGACAGTTTGAGGTCGAGCTAGTGAGCTAGTCCTGGGTTAGTCCATAGATTCTCGTAGGCTACGTGCTGGCTTTGCACATAAACTTGCGCGGACAATTTTGTAATATTTGTAACCTGTAATTCCTTCACATTCAGGCAGCTGCATTACGGTCCCGGGCCAACAGCGACTACTAGTGGCCGCTGAGCGCCATATTCAGTTGCATATGAAGAAAAGGACATAATCAACAGGCTTATGATTTGAAGGGGACTAGTGAGCACAAGCGGTGTAATAGTGTACAGGATCTATATATGCATCAACATGGCAGTCCTTTATTGTCTTGTTTTTGTTTTGGGTGATGAGGCTAAAACTTGGCAGGGTGGTCTCTGAAGAGCCTTAGAGACGGTGGAGATATTTGCCATATAACACCAGTATTACGCCATTATATAGTATAATGTTAAATATATTATAAGTAATAACTACAATATGGTGTTCTATCCTAATATTGAACTTGGTTTCTGAAATCTTGCTTCTTGACCTCTGTGGTGCTTCACCCGAAGGTTAATGTTTTAAAGAAAATCCAAAAAATGTCCAATCAGATGCTTGCCTGACTATGTCCTCGTCAATAGTCTCTGAACCTTATCACACAACACAACAGCATCATTCAGTGTGTTCCTACAATGAAGAACCATCTTTGCCCGCTGTGTCTTTAATGATCAGTCCTACACATTGTCTCCATACAGTATATTTTCAAACCTGAAATACTGTGTTTTTCCTTTGCATAGTGGCTTGCTATAATTATTTTGTATTCTGCGTGCACCATTAGTTCATGAACTGGAGTCAGGATATTGCAGCTTCAGCGTTTGCTGCTGAACTTTGCAAGTTCCCTTAATTGATATCTCTTTCCCAGTCTCAGCCTGCACCCCGGACCTCATTTGACATGCAGACTTATTACCAAACATTGATTACCCTGTCCACGCCAATATCACTGATGAATACAAATTGTGCACCAACATGATTTTTTTTCCTTCTGTGAATCGCACCATTCTAATTGTTGTTCGTGTTTGCTTTCACATTATCCATGCTTGAGCTGTCATATGAGAGGTTGCCTTCTGTCTGAGAAGGGGGATGTCAGTGGAGGGGCTGATGCATGGCTAATACTGAAATACTGCCCATGCAGAAAAAGACATGATATTGTATCATCATACAGAGAAATTTGCCATCTGTAAGAAGAATCGGCAATTTGTATTTGACAAATTCACCTTAACGTTTGAAATCTTTAACGTTAGTCTGTATATCATGCAGCAGTGCATATGCAAAGTGCTGTACTGAATAATATATGACTAAAGAAATGCTAATAAAAACCAGCTATGGATGGCGTTTGTGTTTGTTGCCTGTTAAAACTAGCTTGGGATTTTAAAAATGCAATATACTACAAATTATTCTTTCAGTACATCATGAACGTGAGACCTTGTCCTCTTTCCTATGAGACTGGTTCTCTTGTGGCTTTTGTTTTTTTGCTCTGTTCCTTGCTCCTTTGTTATACGTGCCTTATCATTGCAATTGGGGATACATAGTGTTTAATGGAGATCTGTAGACCGGAACAGTGAAATGCAAAAATTAATATCTCAATGGAGCTGTTGAATTATATTATAAATGAAAAGAATAATTATGCACAGCACCTTTATAATATTCTTATGAATATACAAATGATTCCTTTTTTTATATGCTCTTCTACCATTTTGCACCCTCGGTATCTGTCCCTTATGAAAGCCCTTATGTTGGTTTAGGGGAAGCCCCAGCATGCCCTTGGGTCGGCCTTGAAAATGCCAGGACGTGGCTAGTTTGCCTCACTGCATGTGCTTTGATTGCATGTCATAAGTTAGGCCTTTCGAGCTCACTTCTGAAGACTAAAATAGTAAAAAAATAAAAATGTGCACTCTAAGCAGTGATGTTTAGTGGTAATGGGGCTCAGTATGTCTGGTCTGATCACTCGAGACCCTCTGTGGTAATTAGCCAAGCACAGTCGATGGCAGTGGACCAGTGCTTGATTTCTGTCTCCTCAGCATTTTATCTGGACGTAATTATCTTTGGCATTACAAGCAGAAGAAACAAAAGAGAAGAATGTTCACTTATAATTCTAAAAGCCTTTGACCAAAAAGTACATCGCCTTCTGCAGTCGAGTGTTATTCTCGGTGTTATTGGTTTCTGGAAAGTTCAAAGGCATTGTAATATATTATTGACTAAAGCAGACTGAGACTGATTGCACTTCACAAGAATCAGTTTATTATCAATGAACTATCAATCTCACTCATGGGGGGAAAAAGGTGAATCAGCAGTGCAGTGCACTCCAATCAGTAGAGCCATAACTCAGTTTGGTTTTTAGGATTCTCGGAACCTCTTCTGTGCTTATTGAGACTGACACTTTGGATTTATCCTGAAGTTGTAGGAATGCAGAAATAGGTGGGTAAATTAGTGGGTAAAATAAAATATCACAATATTTGAAACCATTTTCAGGAGTCATGATGTGTACCACGATATAACATCTTTTTTTCTGAGGTTGGTGAGCACACTGGAATGCATGAAAAACAGTTTTAAAGAGCCAATTTTATGTAAAACCAAATTTTGCCTGCTTTTTTTTGGAATAAAAATTTTGATTTAGTATGTAAACATTGTTAAAAAGGTACAAAATGTACTGTTTACTCCCCAGTCTATACAGTCCATATAAGGAAACTAAGCTGCAAAGCCAACCTTTTTTTGAATTGTTTTTGTGATGCCATGGAAAACCAATGTATTTACATATCCAGCCTAGAGCAGCTTAGCTCTGCCCATTCACATGGAAGTTATAAGGAGTGTTTCAGCCTGGACTGGTATTTTGAGTGAGGCACAGGGCAGCCAGTCACAACAGAGGTCTTTTACATCTATCAGTCTTAAAGCTACAGTAACATAAAACTGTTTAATTCTAAGGATAAACAGAGGTTGGAAAATGGTTGTGTTAAAATAATTAGGACTGTTTTTGATACATAAACCCACACAAATGTCATTAGTCAACCTAAAAAAAATGAAATGTAAGAAAAATGTACAATATAAGCCCTATAAATGAAATTATGCATCTGTTAGTGCAATCTTTAAAGAATACAATTTAAGAAGCAGCGGGAGAGAAAAATGACAAAAAATACATTAATAAAATAATAATGGCTTAATGATTAATTAGCTACTCGTTACTGTGACGTTTATGAAAATACTATACTCTGTAGGAATGCAGAACGAAACCAGCTTAAAAAGTATTGGCATTTAACAGATCGTATAATTTGACCAAACCGATATGTGATGATGTATTTACTGTACTCAGGAAGAGCAGAACATTTAGGTGATGCTGAGGAGAATGTCTGAATTTGTAAAAACCTTAATAAATACATTTCTCCATCTAGTCCCAGTTTTTACATATAAATGTTTATTTATCTACATTGTTACTAGCGGATACAGTCTTATGCAAAAGACTGAAGTTCCCTGAAGAGAATTAATTTATTTTCACATAGAAAACATGTAATTTGACTGTATGAAAAATATCAGACATCAGCATCAGCCCACAGTTTTCAAAACGGTGCATTCTTAATACCCTAATTATTGTTTTTAAACAGCCTCTCTGAAATTGGTCTAAATTAGTCTTTTTATTACGCATGTAGTTGTTCTGTGTTTTAGAAGTAACAACGATGCCCCTGGTATACTCATAAATCATCAAAGCATATCACAATGTAATTTATCATGATAAAGACAACATACAGTATTGTCCAACTCTAGCTACAAACCACATTATCTCTGTAAATCCCCTGTATTGGTTTGATTCAGTGCTGCTTCTCGTGTTCTTTGAGCAAGACTCTGGCTGAACGGTTTTGAGCGAGAAATGGCCAGAGGAAGAGGCGTATTGGAGCCAAAGAGGTCTTTGATTTTTCGAGTGTTACAAAATGCAAGGATAGGATCAATTAGGATTTGGTTCTTCTGAGGCTCTAAGAACATAATGAGCTACACTTAGGGCTAATGATTGGAGCTTCACATTAAAGCACGCAGGTCTCTGGGTTGTTTGCATATTATTTTCTGGCAGGATGCTCTTCCCTTTTTTACCCTGCTGCATCAGCACTAGCGTCAAGACCTCACGACTGCTTCGACCAGCATCGATTCGAATTAATTAGAACAACAGCGCAGCTCTGATCTTTAAAATCTTTAATCACTAGACGTGGTTTAGTAGTGGGCTAAAAAAAACGAGTCACGCTAACCAGCGCGTTCACGGTGATGAAGCTGAAATGAACAGATAGCAGAAAAGCAGAACAAATCCCTTGAAAAGAACGAGCATCCCCTGATTTCACACTGTCATAAAGATTCCCTCAGCAGTACGAGTTCATGTAAGGGAACTATAGGGATTATAAATATGTGAAAGGGGCACAACAGTCAGGCGAACCATGACTAATCTTGTGTTTCCACTGCGAGGGTATGTCCAGCACAGAGGAGTCAGATGAGGCTTCTGTCGGTCATGATGGGGACATTGTCTCTATATACCATGCAGTCATTGGAACATAATACTCATGGTGTTATATTTTACATTTCTGGATAAGCATGTCTTTTATCCGTCTACACAAGTACAGAACTGTACAAAAGTTTTAGGCACCTGATAGATTTTAACAAAGAGAAATCTGAGATATCGACTACTTTTTTTGGAAGCAAGACATTTGATACTTTTTACTAGATTTATGTTTATTGGTGTTTAATCTGTGATATATAGATTTTACAGGTAAAACACACACTTATTGCAATGACAAATAGTTTTAAACAGTTTGCTTAGGCGCCTAAGATTTTTGCACAGTACTGTAGTTTGTAGTTCATTCTATTATGATTATAAAATTATGGTTCTCTTTTACATGCTGACC